CTAATTTCTAAACAATGATTATTCCTGAAGTTTATAGAAGTTCATGGCTTTATATAGAATTATAACAGAGGTGGTATTCAGCAGGTTCTGACCTGTTCAGGAGAACCGGTAGTGGAAATTTTGAGTAGTTTGGAATTCCACCTCTGACTGGCCCCGCCCTCATCTATTCTCTGCCTCCGGAGTCCCAGCTGATTGGCTGGGTCTTCTTTTGTTGCCCTGCACAGGAGAACGGAGCTGGAAAGCAGGCTAGTGGGGTGGGGAGAGAATAGGGATTTTACAGCATCCTTCCCCTGAAATGGCGTGGGAATGGAGATTTTATAGTATCCTTCCCCTTCCCACCAAGCAACGCCACGCCCGCCAAGCCATGCCACGTCCGCCAAGCCACGCCCACAGAACCAGTAGTAAAAAATTTTGAATCCCACCACTGGATTATAAGGATCTGTGGATTTTTTTTTTGTCACTGGTTCCCATTCTCCTAATCAAACAGGCAAGTGTAAAGATTAGGATTTTCTCCTCCTTAGAGCATTAAATAAAATCAATTTGCTTCATAGATTATTTGATTTGTAGACCAGAATCATACACACACACACACAAAGGATTTCAAATGAAAAACCGGTTCATATTGCTTGCCTTCCATTTACCTTTTACTGCCTATTTGCCTCTCTGTGTGTAGATTTATAATCTCCTTTGCAAGTTTCCACACTACTTTTAGCACACCATTTTTTTTAAACATATTAATAGTAGTTCTGAGTTGATCTCTTTCGCTGATACATGCTTCAGTTCAGTCTGTTTAGGAACCCTTTAAAAATATCAGTCTTTGGTCAGTGAATGAATGATAATGGCAACAGTTTATATTAAGATCATTAGATGCCTGCACTAAATAGCACTGGAATAGCAACTGAAACATCTAGAAGGGATAGGTTGCATATTAACAAGAGAATGAGTGAAATGAATAATTATAAAATAACAGATGAAGCCAGATTTTCCCTTTCTTGAACAGATTTACTATTGCTATTTAGCAAAGGTTTCTGATCCAAAGAACACATTTTTTTTTTTAAAAAAAATAGATTCTTCATTTTCTCTTCCCTCAGAATTCTTTCGAGTATTCATTCTAAAATATTGCAGAAATCCTGTAATATAGCAGCAGAGATGGTGTTGGAAGAAGAGGAAGGAACTAGACAAAACAACAACAACAACTTCCTTCTACTGACAGGAACGTTCAGAATGAAAATACAGTTAAAGATTGCTACAATAGAAGCACTCCCTATGCTAGTACCATATTCAATATAACCAACTGTTGAAAGACTACCATTTATGAGAGCGAATATATTAGCATAAATCTTTTTTCTCTTCCTTCTTGGATTCTTTAATTCTTTTTTGAGTTAGAAATACAAACAGGGTTACAATGGGAGCAAGAATAAGTAATGCAATTTTGACTGACAAAAACAAGATCAGCATGGCTATAAGCAGGCCAGGCTGGGAATCAAATTTTTGTACTACCAGTTCTGTGGGTGTGGCTTGGTGGTGGGCGTGGCAAGGACAGGATAGTGTAAAATCTCCATTCCCACCCCACTCCAGGGGAAGGTTACTGAAAAACCCCCATTCCTCCCATATCACTAACCTACTTTCCAGTTCTGTTGTCTTGTGCAGGGCAACAAAAGAAGACCTAGCCAATCAGCTGGGATTCAGGAGGCAGGGAATAGATGGGGGCGGGGCCAGTCAGAGTTGATATTTACCATTTGTCTGAACTACTCAAAATTTCTGCTACCGGTTCTCCAGAAATGGTCAGAACCTGCTGAATACCACCTCTGAAGCAGGCCTACTATAAATGTTCCCTTTTTCCTTCCTCCCTCCCTTCCTTCCTTCCTTCCTTCCTTCCTTCCTTCCTTCCTTCCTTCCTTCCATCTCTTCTTTCTTTCTTTCTTTCTTTCTTTCTTTCTTTCTTTCTTTCTTTCTT